TTCACGGTTCTGTGTCGAGCCCTTCACGGTTCTGTGTCGAGCCCTTCACGGCTCTGTGTCGAGCCCTTCACGGTTCTGTGTCGAGCCCTTCACGTTTCTGTGTCGAGCCTTTCACGGTTCTTTGTCGAGCCTTTCACGGTTCTGTGTCGAGCCCTTCACGGTTCTTTGTCGAGCCTTTCAAGGTTCTGTGTCGAGCCCTTCACGGTTCTGTGTCGAGTCCTTCACGGTTCTGTGTCGAGCCTTTCACGGTTCTGTGTCGAGCCTTTCACGGTTTTGTGTCGAGCCCTTCACGGTTCTGTGTCGAGCCCTTCACGGTTCTGTGTCGAGCCCTTCACGGTTCTGTGTCGAGCCTTTCACGGTTCTGTGTCGAGCCCTTCACGGTTCTGTGTCGAGCCCTTCACGGTTTTGTGTCGAGCCTCTCACGGTTCTGTGTCGAGCCCTTCACGGTTTTGTGTCAAGCATTTCACGGCTCTGTTTCTATTGGACAATATGATTTGACTCTGTATCATGCGTCAAATTGTAGCTATACTCTGCTCATTAGGTTTTGTCKTTTATATTCAGGTGTTTGTAGCAATAAAGGTTTTGGAAGACAACCATTTGTTCATCATGTCCAAGTTGAGGCCAAAGCCTGTAACGAGAATGTTGCTTTGATTGATATGACTTCCATCGGGATGTTTGAGATCTCTGTAAGTTACTTTTTATGATTATTTGCTGTTATATTCTTCTAACGCTTTATTCTGTGATTTAATCAGGCTGTACTTTCTTTTGTTAGTCAGATGACTGTTCTGCTGAACAATTACTTCAAATGTTATGCTGCAATGATGTGAATGTCCCTGTTGGTCATGTTCTTAATACTGCCATGTTAAACGAACAAGGGTGTTATCAAATGATGTGCACTTTGACCAGAACCCATAACAACAGGTGGAACTTTGGATATTTTTTTTGTAAAACTCATGAATAATTAATGAGGAAAACACAATAGAAATCGCAACCGTGAAGAGTGTTGTAATATTTGATACAAAACTGTCTTGATTTGCATAAACTTCAAATATAATTTTCTCAGACAAATTCAATTTTATCTTTAAGATCGTAGATTGTATACACCTAAACGTTTCACAAGTAATTTACAACATTCGCGTCCGTGTTGTATGGGCTTTACAATCTCTCGCCTTCGGCTCGAGATTGTAGAATCCCATACAAGACGGCTGCTCATGTTGTAAACATTACATATAGTTTATACAGTCATTTCAGACAGTTTACATCATATTGGTGSATCATGGGTAATTTCATGTGATTTTTCGCTTTTTCTCAATTTGATTGAGAACTAATAAGGTCTTTGAAATTATTGTTATTCAGAGGGGGACAGAGTTATTCGAACACGATTTCTAGTTTGATGACTAATTAAATGTTTAACTTTGAACAATCAGATATCCTATTATTGTTATATTTGATGCTAGAAATGACTGAATTGTATAAGCATCTTTTTTTGTTATAATTTTATAAGCAAACATTGTATGCCACTGTACCTTGGTTATATAGGCTCCTTATCACAACAAAAGACATCATGTGAAATCTTAGTCGTCATGATGACCAAGATGGAGTGTTAACAGCGTGAATATCGTTTCAGATACTTTGTCCAGGTCCCTACTTCATACATTACAGCCGCAAAGAGTTGGGTCCAACGTCACATTCCTGATGGCACCTCTGTGAGACTTCAAAATGTGGAGTCAGTGTGCGTTGTTGGAGTTTTAGGTCCTAAGTCTGAGGAATTGCTACAATCGCTTACACAGACTCCATTGCGTCAAAAAGATTTTCCTCTAAATACACACAAGGTAATTGCAGCATTAATTTAGCGATGCGATTCACCGACGTCGATTTATAGCTGAAACCAAGGAAGAGGAGAGAAGTAAACTTTACATAACTTTCCTCGATACCTCCACATACTAAATTTAAACATTCACTTTCTTTAGACTATTGATCTGGGATTTGCATCGAATGTACAAGCTTTCCGAGTGGCCTCCATCGGTGATGATGTCGAAAGCTGGCAACTGGTCCTTCCTTCAGAGGTATGCTGTATAGGACTTTTTTGTGTTCTTGAGTTTTCAGAAATGACCTAATCAATTGCCCTATTTCATTATGACGTCACAGTTTGTTTACTTCGGATGCTCAAGAACAGTGGGGATTTGGACCTATTTATATTGTCCCCCTTCAACCGTGTTTTGATACTTGTAAATTTTATTTAATATACAGTAACTCCGATCCCCTCTTGCGACCATGATCCTTTGCGTTAAAACAATAGAATGTTTTTATGTGAGGTCATAGTGAACTAGGGCAAATCGCAGTAGCTGAATTCTTCCAGCGCTAATTTACGATTTTGAAACATTTTAGGTGGGGCTATGCACTTGTTTTTGACCATACCTTTCATTTTTTTATCTATAGCCGTAACCTATACATACATCCCTGTTTTTTAAATCAGTTAAAAAATATTCTGAAAATGATACCAATATTCAGCGTTACCATAGAAAAGATCAGAAAATGGCATCGTCTAAAACTGTCATCTTATTTTAACTGATCAAAAAATCACGAAAAACCAAATACATTGACATTATTATGGTCTGAAATGCGGTGAACAGATGAAAGTGAAAATATGAACAATCTATGCGATTGTTATGGACGGCAGTGGAGCGAGCGGTCATTCTCTTGGATGATTTGAATTCCCCATAGTTTCAATAGAAATAAAAGGAATGATGAAAAAAACAACTGCAGCGCTTCACCTTAACAGTGACAAGTGAATTGAAGCATCGTAAAGGAATGTTTARTCACGTGACTACTGTGTAATTTACYTCCAGTTTGCACTTGGATTATACAATCAGCTGATGTCCAATGGAAAACCGCTGGGCATAAGGAATGTAGGCTACTATGCTTTAGATTCTCTTCATGTTATGAAAGGCTACCCTCGATTTGGTGTGGAAGTGAATCCTTTTGTTAACCCTTATGAAGCTGGACTGGAACACTATGTTGATGTATGCAAGGTAACCATAGCCATATGGTCCGAGCAAACCTACCAATCATAGACCAACCATACTCAAACCACATGTATGCAA